GTTAAAGCAGAGTACATAAAATCTAGTTTGTACATTAAATTGGTAACTTTGGCGTCGTTATTGCCTGTTTTCCAGGAGAGGGCCCACAGGACCCAGATTTGGACCTCACAATGACAAAATGAAGCAGTAAGTACTAACACATTTCTCATTACATCTATAAGCCGGAGGTCAGAGTAGTATTGCCAGCACCTTTAGTTTTGGTGTTGGTGTTGGTGTTATGCAACCACGGTCCGTCATGTTTACCAGAAACTGCAAGTTGTTAACAGATTGTGTAAGAGGCAGCCGTGTGCAGGTTATTATGTAACCTTCCCAGGACGCCCCAGTCCCTCTGCAGTCTGTTTCCACATTAACCTCCAGTCAGACACAGCCAGAGAGCAGCGGAGGTTATTGTTGAGACAGTCTGGCACCCAGGGTTGTTTCTCCACGCTCTGTTCATATTTGACAGTTTGTCATTGTGAGCACATGAAACCAGATGCCATCATTACAGATTCCAGGAATGTTGTGTGCACATTGCGCAGGCCCTTCACCTCTGTGTGTGTCTGAACTTGAACCCCACAGGTCAGGTCCTCACCATGTGTCTGTGTGTATTTGTGGCAGCCCATTCCTCTTCCTAAGGCTGTGCTTTTGCTCTGGCTGTGTCTTTACATGTTTAATATTACTGCCGTCAACCTGCAATCAGGGTTAAGTCCAAAACTGATTAGTTTCCTGCAGTGTAATGGTGATGGAAAATGTGATCAATCGTGAGAAAACAGATTCCTTTGTCTTGTATCTTGCTTACGAGTCCCTCTGGCTTTTCTTCTTTATTTGCCAATGTCCTCCTTCCTGCTGATCCTGCATATCTCCAAGAGGTATTGCTCAGAATTACTTTGAAATAAGAGCGACTGAGGGGTTATCTGGACTTAGTCATGCCATGCTCAGGTACTGTGAATAAAGCAAGGATTTGAGCATAATTCTGCACATGCTACACAGGTCCTAGCAGGTCACAGTGAGGCTGTAAAACAGGCTTTTTTTTAGCCTGCCAACTGGACAAGGCTAGATATAGAGAAGAGGATATTGTTGGGAAAACAGGTGCTTTGTGCTTTAGTGGTTACTAGAAAAAAAAAAACATCATCCTTGACAAATCCTACCTTTTTTTTATATTTTCTGATTCATGTCTATTATTTGTGATTCTGTGCCTCACACCAACTTGTGTCCTCAGGGTGCAGTCGCAGGTTGATGAGGTGATTGATGTGATGCAGGAGAACATCTCCAAGGTGATAGAGAGGGGCGAGCGTCTCGACGACCTGCAGGACAAGTCGGGTGAGTCACACTGGGGCAAGCGTTTGCTTTTGTGTTTGTCCACATGTGCAAAGTAAAATGAATGAACACAAACTCTGCACAGAAGTCAGTTTAGCTTACAGATGGTTCGCACATGGCTCTGAGGATTGTTGTCCTCACTGTATGTAGGAATATTTTGGCATTTGCTTATGTTAATGTTAACATTTCTGCAATGTGCATCCATTTTAAAAAGAAAAATGTTCTTAATGAGGTCCAGTAGAGCTTTTGGACATGAAATAGTTGGGTAAACACAGGTGTTACTGATGATACCTAATTAAGATTCATCTTAGTGTACAGAGCCTTTCAATGAGCTGGAACAGAAGGTCTATGATCCTATTTGTATCTTTAAATCAGGAGTGAAGGTTTTGGTTTGTCATGTTAATAATATTAAAAACTTCTGGAGAGATCTCAAACCTGCTTGCATATTGCCAAACTGTCAAAAATAGTGAAAAATGTTGTTACAATTTCCCAAGTGACGTCTTCAAATGTCTTGTTT